GCTGGGCCCGTGAGCCATGGCCGCTGGGCCTGCGCGTCCGGAGCCTGTGCTCCGCAACAGGAGAGGCCACAACAGTGAGAGGCCCACGTACCACACACACACACACACACACACACACACACACACACACACACACACACACACACACACACAAAAGCTCCTGAGGCAGGGAATTCCCTGGCAGTCCAGTGGGTAGGACTCCGTTCTTCCAATGCTGGGGGCACGGGTTCAATCCCTAGTCGGGGAACTAAGATCCCACAAGCTGTGAGGTGCTGCCCCCCCAGAAAGGAAAAGAAATTGAAGTTTTAAAACACCATTTACAATAGCACTAAAATATGAGATACACAGGGATATAGTTGGCAAAACAAGTGTAAACCCTATTTCCAGTTATAAAATAAATAAGTCATGGTATGTAATGTACACCATATGACGTTAGTTAATAACACTGTAGTGTATATGGGAAAGGTTCTGAGAGAGTAGATCTTAAAAGTTCCCATAAGAAAAAAAGTTGGTAACTATATACGGTGATGATTCAACTAGACTTACCGTGGTGGTCATTTCACAATATATACAAACATCGAACCATTATGTTTCATACAATAACTAATAAATTATATATCAACTATACCTCTATTTTAAAAGTGTAAAACCTGTACACTGAAAACTACAAAATGCTGCCGACAGAACTTAAAGGAAACAAGTAAATGGAGAGACAGACCATGTTCACAGATTGGAGGACATGATACCGTCAAGATCTCAATTCTCCCCAACGTGACTGACACAGTCTTCCCAAACCCGGGAAACAAAACCCAACCTTTTCCATAGGAAGCGGCAAGCTGATTCTAAAATTCCCATGGAAATTGAAAGGACCTAGAATAGCTAAAAAAACTGAAAAAGAACCAAGCTGGAGGACTAATACTACCTGATCTCATGATCTGTTGTAAAGCTACAGTAACCAGACAATGTGGTATTGACATAAAAGACAGACACAGAGATGAAGGAAACAGAAAGATACCTTCACACGCAGTCAATCATTTTCAACAGAGGTGCCCAGGGGATTCAGTAGGAAGAGGACAATCTTTTCTCCAAACCGTTCTAGAAAAACTCCAAGTTAAATTCTTCTCACACGGTACGCAAAGATTAACTCAAAATGGATTACAGACCTAAATGTAAGAATAAAAACTATAAAACTTTAAGAAGAAAGCACTGGAGAAAATCTTAGTGGTCTTGGATATGGCCAAGATTTCTTAAATAGGACACAAAGAGCACAAAGTCTAAAACTTGACAAATTGAACGTCATTATAATTAAAATCTTTTACCCTTCATCAGACACTGTTAAGAGAATGGAAATACAAGCTGCGGATTGACAAAAAAATATTTGTTAAACGTATATGTGACAAAGGACTTGCTTCCAAAATATATAAAAAATTCTTAAAACTCAGTAAGAAAACAACCCAATTAAAAAATAGGCAAAAGATCCCAACTTTGGACTTCCCTGGTGGCGTGGTGGTTAAGAATCCACCTGCCAATGCAGGGGACACGGGTTCGAGCCCTGGTCCGGGAAGATCCCACATGCCGCGGAGCAACTAAGCCTGTGTGCGCACCCCAGCTACTGAGCCTGTGCTCTAGAGCCCGCGAGCCACAACTACCGAGCCTGCGCTCTGCAACAAGAGAAGCCACCTCAAGGAGAAACCCACGCACCCCAACAAAGAGTAGCCCCCACTCACTGCAACTAGAGAAAGCCCGCGCGCAGCAACGAAGACCCAACACAGCCTAAATAAATAAATAAATAAGAAGACAAGGCTGTGCGCCCCTCTATCTGTACAAGGAGGAAGAGCAGGCCAGGGAGGCCAGGGTTACAGCTGCAGGAATGTGGACACTTACCCCAGACCAGGACGACCAGGGAGCGGCAGAGCCAGTACCGACCCGGCCAGGCCCTGTCGCGGCACTTGACTCAAACTGCCTGACTTACCCTGGCGAGGAGCCGTGCGGGGAGGGTCCAGGGGACCAAAGTCCAAGGTGACACAGCTAGGAGAGACACAGCTGGCATCTGGGCCAGCACTCCTAAGCTCCTCATGCCTGACCACGGTGGACACAGACGACGGGACCCAAAAGGGAGGCCCAGGGCACGAGCTGGCCCAGGGTCCCGGTAGGGGAGAGGACCCTGCAGACTCCACTCCTCGTCTTCTGGAAGCCATGCCTCTGACTTAGCCCCTCCTAAATTAAAATAAGCTTCTATCAGGGCATACCCCAGTTTCCAGTAACACGAAAGATCAACAGACAATCATTATAGGCAATAATGCCAAACCTCTGGCCAAACAAAACTTGAACACCACTCTCCTGGCACAGCACCAGCTGCAAGAGGCTGAAACCTGCTTGCAAGGAAGCCCTGCCCTGAAACCAACTGGGCCTGCAGCCTGTGCTGGGCAGGTGATGCTGTAATCCTAGGAGGCTGTGGAAAACTCTATCATCCCAGGAAGGTACAGAAATAACTATCTAGTAAGATCACTATAACCCTGAGAAGATTTGGATAAGAAAGTAATTAAATCCTATGGTGCTGAAATTTTCAAAAAGCTTAAAATTCATTTTATAATCACTGGATTTTTACATATTTTGTTTGATATTATGGGCAACATACTCAAAGGAAGAAATCATTCAAAGTAATTCTCATTTAAATGGTTGAGGTGAATTTCTATTTGTAAACAACAATGTTACAAATGATAAAAGTCAGTGACTTCCCCCATTCCCACAACCTCCACCTACAAGGCAGTGCAGGGGTCTTCTGAGCTGCACATTACCCAGGGCCAAAACCACTCCCAACAAGCCCTCAACCACTCCTGGGACAATTGCTGAAATTTAATTTATTCTACAGCTAAACACTCAGGTGATGCCATGTCAGCTTCTGCTTGCAGTTTAAGAATTATATTGCTCTGAGTCTTGGGGTAATACTTTGTGTTATCTGACACATGCTTAATGGGGACACAACATATAATGTTTAGAAAGAACAGATCGATCGCCAAGTGGGGCTTATTCCAGGAATGCAAAGCCTGCTCAATGAATATAATCCATCATTTCATCAGGCTGATCACATCAACTGATGCACAAAAAAGCACTGGACAAAATTCAACACCCGTTTATGGTAAAAATTCTCAACTCGATAAAGAGCATCTAGAAAAAACCTACCGCTAACATTAACCTGATGGTGAAAAAATAAGACTGGGAACCAGCTACTCTTCATCAGCACAGTACTGCAAGCCCGAGCCCG